CTGGTCAATTGCCAATATCAGCATTCTCAAATATTCTTCTTTCAACTGAGCGTGTTCATCACTGGATAATCCTTTATAGAACTCTTTGGCACCCTTCTCAATATTCTTCTGGTTCTTTGGATCTTCACTAAATGCGACGCTCAGATGATCTGACAGATGGTTCATCACTTTAGTTGACAGTTTGTAAAATTTTTGATCATCTGCAGTCTTTGTGCCACCGAGTAAATTCTTCAGAAAGTCAGGCAGTTCACATTCTTCTACAGCAATTTTAGGGTCATTGACATCATACACGGAATCTTTCAAAGCGGGGACAATGCCCTTGTTTGTGAAGATCAGAAAATTTGTTACTTGCTGCTTATTTTTTTCAGCTAGCCATTTACATCCTAAAAACGAACAGAAGTGCTCTTGCAACGAAAAATCTCCTTTTGGCTTGTAAAATTCGTCTGCTTTTATTTTGTCGTTTGTCACAGAATGTTTAGCTTGCATGTGGAACAACTTATCTTCAAATTTGAACGTCACATCGTCAAGTGTGCCGTAACCCCGTTCTTCTGACGTAATAGAAAACTTGTAACCATGCTGCAGTCCACGCAGAGCAAGTAGGGCCGCGATTTGAATTTGATAAAGATTTCCTTTTAATGGTGGTATGATTCCACCACCTGGCCTCACTTCAAACTGAACGGGGTTTTCATCATGCCTGAAACACAGTCGAGAAATGATAAGAACCTAGCCCAGTGGTTCTCAACCTTAGGGTCGCGACCCCAGTGGGGTCGCGAAAAAATTTTAAGGGGTCGCGGCGAGGTAGCTGGGGTCGTGTTTTGGGCCGATTTTAAGCAGCCACTGCGTCTGATCCGAGGCGGGCATTTTGCTCCCTCAACCGGCAATTGGTCTTTGAACCTTCCTTTAGCATGCCTTTGTTACGGAGTGTGATTATCAGTCTTAGTTTGGGAGCAGTATTGTCTCAAAGTTTACCAAAACGGTCAGAAATGTCTTTAAAAAATCGTGTTTTGGGCCTATTTTAAGCAGCCACTGCGTCTGACCCGAGGCGGTATTTCGTCCTCCTTCAACGGGCAATTGGTCTTTGGACCTTCTTTTAGCATGCCTTTGTTACGGAGTGTGATTATCAGTCTTAGTTTGGGAGCAGTATTGTCTCAAAGTTGGCCGAAACGCTCAGAAATGTCTTTGAAAAATCGTTGTGCCTGTTTTGGTCAACTTTGAGACAATACTGCTCCCAAACTAAGACTGATAATCGCATTCCGTAACAGAGGCATGCTAAAGGAAGGTCCAAAGAACAATTGCCCGTTGAGGGAGCAAAATGCCCGCCTCGGATCAGACGCAGTGGCTGCTTAAAATCGACCCAAAACATGATTTTTTAAGACATTTCTGAGCGTTTTGGCCAACTTTGAGACAATACTGCTCCCAAACTAAGATTGATAATCGCACTCCGTAACAGAGGCATGCTAAAGGAAGGTCCAAAGACCAATTGCCCGTTGAGGGAGCAAAATGCCCGCCTCGGATCAGACGCAGTGGCATGCTAAAGGAGGGGTCCCGTCTAGTCCCGTGGGGTCGCGAAACTTTTCCTGGGGGTCGCGGAAATTTTTGGCTACAAATTTGGGGTCGCGAGCCGAGAAAGGTTGAGAACCGCTGACCTAGCCCCAACTTGAAATGGGAACAGAACTTTAACAAACTTGGAAGTCTTCTTTACTGTCAACTCCACTGTCATAAAAGCTGAAACGAACCAGAATAAATTTTATCAAAACCATTCATAATTTTAACAAAAATTTAAAAGGATCATTTGATTTTTTTATTCCAACAGTTGTCTTTAGTTTCTATTCTGTATTTAGGGTTTGATCAGTACCCTTGCAAAAAGGAAAATATATGGAAAATATGTGTCAATATATGACTCCATATATGTTTCATGCATTGTCAATATGATTGTATCTTGGTCAACATATTGCAAATTATCTTGCGCAATACGTGGTTTATATATGGGGATATATCTTGGTGCCCGTCAATATATAATGCATACACTGTTAGAAATTAGCTCCGAAATTTTATGGAGAAAAACCCTATAATCATGTTCATGGAGACTCCATTCATTTTCCATTTTTTTTCGGAGAGATTTTCGCAGGGCTTTCACAGATGTTCTTCGGAGCATTCCTTGGGTCCAGATAGGAGGTTAAATGCAAGTCTTTTCTCAGATATATTAAAGAGGACTTCGCTAAAGCATTTTTTGGTCTGAAATGGTCAAAGAAGGGACAATCTCATTCGAGCTCATTTGACTTATATCCTGTAGCTTTCCGTTTATATTTATGAAAACTGAGCTCAAGAAGTAGGGGTTCACCTTTCCCTCAAATTTTAACTGGTTGCAAACCTTTTTTTCGTGTTTTTGTGATAGTGAAGCATGCATTTTTGTTCAAAATTCCGAAATTTTTCGGAGAAAGCCCAGAATTTGCATTTATGGAGAGCTCCATGCAGAAGTTTCGGAAAAACTCCATGATTTTTCCATTTTTTTCGGAATTTTCTGCCAGTGTATATTTCCCCATATAATATTATCTTCGCGAAATGTATGTTTCAATATCGGACACGGTGCCCGTCGTGGGATGGGATAGGGTTAGGAGGGCAGACTTTTCAAGTAACTTTTCTTAATCTTGGCACTCGATGTTGAAAGGCGGCTATATTTCTCAACATGATTTTATCTTGTAAAATATTTTGACGCCATATATTGAGCAAGGGAAAGGTTCTTTTCCATCCGTTTAAGCCTCCAAGAAATTTTGAGAAATCCTGTTTAACAAGTTAACTGGAACAGTTTGGAAATTTTAAACGTCTTATTTGGGTGTAGCGCGAAAAGTTCTTCTAGGCGACCACGGTAGGACCAGACTTGAGTGTCCTCGCTAGGCGCAGTTTACATTCTTTTAAAATAGTAATGGAAGTCTCTGAGTCGTCAGACTCCATGGTGTATTTACACTATATATTGCCTACATATAGAGCAATGTATGAAATTCATATATTTGCCACGTATTTTTCATATCGGAAAAGTATCTTGCTAAAGTATCTTTACCACATATGACGTCAACACATGTTGGGTCATATACACTGGCCGTCAAAATTGAAGCCCCACTTTTTCCTTTTCTTATAACTCTTGCTAGAATTGAGCTAGAAACTTGAAATTTTGAGGAGAGGTGGGCCAAAGTCTTGGGTAAACGTCCCCAAAGTTGCATCAACGAAACCCACCCCTTTGCGTCTTATTCCACCCCTCCCGTAAAACAGTGTCAAATTTTGACACTTTTGCAAGGTTTAAAATGGCCTTCCCGTTGTCACAGAGGGTTCAAACTTGGTGAGTCGCCTCATTTTGACCTCCTCTTTCGATTGAGACCAGAGCCACCCCTTTACGACGCACCGTTCCTGAGCCACAAAAAAAACCCACCCCGTGCAAGGGATGATTCTTTAGGACCTTATCCAGGTGGTCAGCGTGGTAGCGGGAGGTCCCTCGGACACGACAAAAGTGTTTTCGCGTCCGTGGCACTCTCCAGGGGGTGTCCAGCCCCGAACGACTGACACCCCAAATCATGTTTTTTTCCCTAAAACCACCAAAAATGTCAAAAACTGGGCCTAAAAGCATGAAACGCGATTGATTGTGACCGCCTGGATCGATTCCAGGTGAAAAAACCGCACATCGTTGGTAAACAACGTTTTGGCAGGGGGTGGAAACCCCTTACGCCCCTCACCCCTTTTGAAGGGCACGGGGGGCCGCCGGCGGGACCCCGTGTTCGCGGTACGATGGAGGGGTTCTCGGACAGCTCCACACCAAATTTGAAGTGATTCGGTCCATTCGTTCCCGTCCGGGGCCCAAAAAGCGGCGGCCGCTCTCGGACTGGACGCTGAGTGCGACTCATTTTCTAAGCGCTCTGGCGGCTGACTCGTTGGTACCAGGGCTTTCGGCATTTGCAACCTTGTCAGGGAAGGTCGTGCGCTTCTCGGCGCACCTGAGCGGATGTTGTGCTCCTCCTGGACGGAGAATCAGGGGTGCAAACTTAGGGGTTGAAAGTGACACGATTTAACGTCTTTTGGGCCCCGGACGGGCCACGGTCGCGAAAACACTTTTGTCGTGCCCGGGGGACCTCCCGCTATCACGCTGACCACCTGGATAAGGTCCTAAAGAATCATCCCTTGCACGGGGTGGGTTTTTTTTGTGGCTCAGGAACGGTGCGTCGTAAAGGGGTGGCTCTGGTCTCAATCGAAAGAGGAGGTCAAAATGAGGCGACTCACCAAGTTTGAACCCTCTGTGACAACGGGAAGGCCATTTTAAACCTTGCAAAAGTGTCAAAATTTGACACTGTTTTACGGGAGGGGTGGAATAAGACGCAAAGGGGTGGGTTTCGTTGATGCAACTTTGGGGACGTTTACCCAAGACTTTGGCCCATCTCTCCTCAAAATTTCAAGTTTCTATCTCAATTCTAGCAAGAGTTATAAGAAAAGGAAAAAGTGGGGCTTCAATTTTGACGGCCAGTGTATTTTGTCTATATAGTGCCCATATATTTTCCATTTTGCAAGGGAGGGGTAATAGAAAAAAAGCATTCCAAGTTTCAATGAGATCTGACCTCTTTATTCCTAAAAAAAATTTCAGGGCCTGGTGAAATTTAAACTTTGCTCGATAAAGTGAAAAAGTGACTGTACCATCCAGACATACTACCGAGCTCAAAAAATATTTTTTATCAATTTTATCAAAACCATTCATAATTTTAACAAAAATTTAAAAGGATCATTTGATTTTTTTATTCCAACAGTTGTCTTTAGTTTCTATTCTGTATTTAGGGTTTGATCAGTACCCTTGCAAAAAGGAAAATATATGGAAAATATGTGTCAATATATGACTCCATATATGTTTCATGCATTGTCAATATGATTGTATCTTGGTCAACATATTGCAAATTATCTTGCGCAATACGTGGTTTATATATGGGGATATATCTTGGTGCCCGTCAATATATAATGCATACACTGTTAGAAATTAGCTCCGAAATTTTATGGAGAAAAACCCTATAATCATGTTCATGGAGACTCCATTCATTTTCCATTTTTTTTCGGAGAGATTTTCGCAGGGCTTTCACAGATGTTCTTCGGAGCATTCCTTGGGTCCAGATAGGAGGTTAAATGCAAGTCTTTTCTCAGATATATTAAAGAGGACTTCGCTAAAGCATTTTTTGGTCTGAAATGGTCAAAGAAGGGACAATCTCATTCGAGCTCATTTGACTTATATCCTGTAGCTTTCCGTTTATATTTATGAAAAATGAGCTCAAGAAGTAGGGGTTCACCTTTCCCTCAAATTTTAACTGGTTGCAAACCTTTTTTTCGTGTTTTTGTGATAGTGAAGCATGCATTTTTGTTCAAAATTCCGAAATTTTTCGGAGAAAGCCCAGAATTTGCATTTATGGAGAGCTCCATGCAGAAGTTTCGGAAAAACTCCATGATTTTTCCATTTTTTTCGGAATTTTCTGCCAGTGTATATTTCCCCCTATAATATTATCTTCGCGAAATGTATGTTTCAATATCGGACACGGTGCCCGTCGTGGGATGGGATAGGGTTAGGAGGGCAGATTTTTCAAGTAACTTTTCTTAATCTTGGCACTCGATGTTGAAAGGCGGCTATATTTCTCAACATGATTTTATCTTGTAAAATATTTTGACGCCATATATTGAGCAAGGGAAAGGTTCTTTTCCATCCGTTTAAGCCTCCAAGAAATTTTGAGAAATCCTGTTTAACAAGTTAACTGGAACAGTTTGGAAATTTTAAACGTCTTATTTGGGTGTAGCGCGAAAAGTTCTTCTAGGCGACCACGGTAGGACCAGACTTGAGTGTCCTCGCTAGGCGCAGTTTACATTCTTTTAAAATAGTAATGGAAGTCTCTGAGTCGTCAGACTCCATGGTGTATTTACACTATATATTGCCTACATATAGAGCAATGTATGAAATTCATATATTTGCCACGTATTTTTCATATCGGAAAAGTATCTTGCTAAAGTATCTTTACCACATATGACGTCAACACATGTTGGGTCATATACACTGGCCGTCAAAATTGAAGCCCCACTTTTTCCTTTTCTTATAACTCTTGCTAGAATTGAGCTAGAAACTTGAAATTTTGAGGAGAGATGGGCCAAAGTCTTGGGTAAACGTCCCCAAAGTTGCATCAACGAAACCCACCCCTTTGCGTCTTATTCCACCCCTCCCGTAAAACAGTGTCAAATTTTGACACTTTTGCAAGGTTTAAAATGGCCTTCCCGTTGTCACAGAGGGTTCAAACTTGGTGAGTCGCCTCATTTTGACCTCCTCTTTCGATTGAGACCAGAGCCACCCCTTTACGACGCACCGTTCCTGAGCCACAAAAAAAAACCACCCCGTGCAAGGGATGATTCTTTAGGACCTTATCCAGGTGGTCAGCGTGGTAGCGGGAGGTCCCTCGGACACGACAAAAGTGTTTTCGCGTCCGTGGCACTCTCCAGGGGGTGTCCAGCCCCGAACGACTGACACCCCAAATCATGTTTTTTTCCCTAAAACCACCAAAAATGTCAAAAACTGGGCCTAAAAGCATGAAACGCGATTGATTGTGACCGCCTGGATCGATTCCAGGTGAAAAAACCGCACATCGTTGGTAAACAACGTTTTGGCAGGGGGTGGAAACCCCTTACGCCCCTCACCCCTTTTGAAGGGCACGGGGGGCCGCCGGCGGGACCCCGTGTTCGCGGCACGATGGAGGGGTTCTCGGACAGCTCCACACCAAATTTGAAGTGATTCGGTCCATTCGTTCCCGTCCGGGGCCCAAAAAGCGGCGGCCGCTCTCGGACTGGACGCTGAGTGCGACTCATTTTCTAAGCGCTCTGGCGGCTGACTCGTTGGTACCAGGGCTTTCGGCATTTGCAACCTTGTCAGGGAAGGTCGTGCGCTTCTCGGCGCACCTGAGCGGATGTTGTGCTCCTCCTGGACGGAGAATCAGGGGTGCAAACTTAGGGGTTGAAAGTGACACGATTTAACGTCTTTTGGGCCCCGGACGGGCCACGGTCGCGAAAACACTTTTGTCGTGCCCGGGGGACCTCCCGCTATCACGCTGACCACCTGGATAAGGTCCTAAAGAATCATCCCTTGCACGGGGTGGGTTTTTTTTGTGGCTCAGGAACGGTGCGTCGTAAAGGGGTGGCTCTGGTCTCAATCGAAAGAGGAGGTCAAAATGAGGCGACTCACCAAGTTTGAACCCTCTGTGACAACGGGAAGGCCATTTTAAACCTTGCAAAAGTGTCAAAATTTGACACTGTTTTACGGGAGGGGTGGAATAAGACGCAAAGGGGTGGGTTTCGTTGATGCAACTTTGGGGACGTTTACCCAAGACTTTGGCCCATCTCTCCTCAAAATTTCAAGTTTCTATCTCAATTCTAGCAAGAGTTATAAGAAAAGGAAAAAGTGGGGCTTCAATTTTGACGGCCAGTGTATTTTGTCTATATAGTGCCCATATATTTTCCATTTTGCAAGGGAGGGGTAATAGAAAAAAAGCATTCCAAGTTTCAATGAGATCTGACCTCTTTATTCCTAAAAAAAATTTCAGGGCCTGGTGAAATTTAAACTTTGCTCGATAAAGTGAAAAAGTGACTGTACCATCCAGACATACTACCGAGCTCAAAAAATATTTCAGCAAGAGAATAAATGCGCTTACCCAAAGCACTTCTTTGTAAGTGAGTATTTCCAAATACTATGTTAGATGTTGGTGTTTAACATAGATATTGGGCTTCAATGAGCCCGGACAAAAGGTATACACGATGTCGATAGAACGCCTAAAGCGATAAATGTGCAAGGGAATGAGAGACCTGGAACATTGGACTTGTCTACACTCCCAATATCCTACTGAGAAATTCCGCGCAGTCGTAATACTAAGCTTTTTATTCGTATTACGAAGAAAAAGCTCAGTGTACAAAACAGTGTCAGTAGCACTGTCGCGTTCTGGGATGCCAAATGGACGCAAAACGAATGCGTCAATAACGAGCCGAGGAGGGGCATCATGGCACTTGTCCAGTTTTCAGAGCCATGTACACTCACGTTTTGACAGCGTTCTCTTTCGCGTGGACGCACAAAGTGGTGCCCTCGGTTCCGCTCTGGTTTGCCACCGTGGCGAGAGTTTGCCGGTCCGCCATGCTTGATTCAGAGCCAAACTCCGGTCGGTTGTGTGGTGCTCAACCTGGAATGCACAGTTAGGCGTTACTGAGTCGTACGTCTCAAGCGTGCTACGTATTTTAAAGATAGCAACTAAGTAAAGCGAGAGAAATGCTCTAGTTGTTTGTTCCCTACATGTCAGCATGTCAGCACATAGGGGTAGGTTGGGGAAGAAAAGTACAAAACACGTACTTTGCATCGTGCAGGTCACAACTTGTTTTGAGACGGTTCTGTTCCTTTTGAGTTATAATGTGAACCTTTACGAATGAAATGAGTCATATTTTATCCAGATTGGTCGTCTACTTTAATCACAACAAGCTAAAATAGGTGTGATTTCGGAACTAGCTGAACAGGGGAAGAAAAGTACACCCCCGGGTAAGAAAAGTACACCAGAAGAAGGCCATGTCACGATCCACAGCTGGAGTCCATATGAGCGCCTGGGAAGCAGGCAGCCACTCCGACACCGGTGCGGCGTGGCTGCCTACCCGCAAGGGGCCTCGCCGCAGCTCAGCTGAACTTGATATGTAAGCCAAACTCTCCGTTTTTTGTCTGAGGGGATTGAAACTAAGCCAAATTAACAAAAACCGTTTTATTAAGCAGGTGATGAGCAGGTGTGCTTAGAACAAAATAAAAATTAATCATTATTAACAACACTCTCTGCAAATAAGTCTTTCAGTCATCATAATAGTAGTATGAAAAATATCACATTTGTCAGGACCAAAAAAGAACAATAATTAAAAAAGAGGTTCTTCAGGAATCACTACAGGGACCTGCCCTATTGGAACACATGGTATTCAAATAAATAATAAACTTTTGAACATCAAAAACATTGAACATTAAAAACAAAAACTCTTTGGCTTATAAAATTAACTAAATAATAGAAACAAACAGCACTAATGCATTAAAATGCTAACATAAATTTGTGTAATCGGAAAGGTCATGAAATCTATATTGACCTCTTCGGGAGCTGTGCAGTGTGAGAACTCTGATTACATCTGTTCCAATGATTGTGCTAATGTCAGGAATCTGTGGCCTCACAAAATACAGATTCTTGTCTCCCTTTTTACGTAAAAACTCAACTTCTAAATAAATTTCACTCAATACATTTGCAACCCAGCACACATACTCACAAATATTACCATGTTTAGCTAAGATGTAATATTTTTCCTGGACAGGTAACGCTTTTTGTGGCTCTGCTTCAGTTTCAACTTCATCGGGGTCATCAACACTTTCTTCCTCGGCTGGCTCTATGTTTTCATTAGGCTTCTTCTTCTTTGACTTCCTTGTGCGCTCAGATGACTTCTTTGCCTTCCCAGATTTCTTCCTCTTGCCAGTTGGTTTCTTTTTTGATTCCTCTCGTGCTTTGATGTGCTCAATATAACTCTTCAGATGTTACCACTGCGGCATCAGGCTTTATCTGCATTCTTTGTTGTTTTGGGGCTACTGTAGTTCCAATCTTCTGAAGTAAAAGAGTTTCAAAACTCTGATGAGAAGTGCTGAAAAAGAAATAGCATTTATAGTACAACCTGATACGCAATTTTTTTTCATGCAGGAAAATTTATTTGTTTACCTGGGTTGATTTAAGTCTACATTAGCTAAAGGTGTTCGGTGTTGTGATGACGATGATGATACTTCAGAAGATCCTCCAGCCGTTATGGAATCGGAAACCGGATTTGATTAGACTGGGTCTGTGATCAAAATTAAGATTTAGAAAACAAAACTTTGAACGTTCCCAAACAATACAATATAGTTTTGCTTGGATTTAAACTTACCTATTTGAGATACAGATTTTTCCTTAAAATCTAAATATTTCTGAAGTTTTACTGGTTTCAATCTGTCAACAGGATACTTGTCTTGATTGACGGGGAAGATTCCACAGGTTTTGAAACCTGAGATGATGTTAAGTGAAGAAATTCCCTCGTTCCAGATTGAACAAATCAGATCAACAAATTCTGATTTCGACAAGCTTCTTTGATTTTCCCTCTGCCATGAGATAAGTGTCGTATCCAGCTTCTTTTTGTAAGGGCTAAAGCATGTTCGATCTAAAGGCTGTAACAGATCTGTAGTATGAGATGGAAGCTTGATGATTGCAATACCTTGTTCTTTGGCAAGCAATATAGTGCGGATATCCAGATGACTAACATGGCCATCCACAACAAGGATAAGTGGACGGGTTTTGATAGACACTGTGAATTTTTTAAACCACTCAAGAAAAATGTCACTTGTTATGTATCCATTTTCAGCACAGGCAAAGAAAGTGCCCACAATGTCAGCATTTCCTTTCCACACATTCCACAAGTTTTGTCCTTTAAAAATAATCAGCGGTGGAAGCAAAGTACCATCTGCACAAATACAGGCCATCACTGTAGTATTTTCACGACCACTTCCTTGGATTGTCCTGCGAACTTTGGTTTGTTCGGTCCCAGTCACCATTTTAGTTTTTGATGGATCGTGGTTATTGGGACACTCATCTAGGTTCCAATAGTGACAAGCTGAATCCAAATTATCGATTCCCAACTCACTTGCCAGGTTCTTCAGCATATCGTAAAATCCATAGATCAAAAATGGATCTGCTGTATTTTGGCGACGATTCATCTGCAATGGTTCGGCATTCTTCAAGGTGAGGCTGGTCCGCTTACAAAATGAGCTCCACCATGCTTGTCCTGGGATGTTGTCCTTGAACGGGGTCTTGGTGTTGTTTATCTTGCAGAAGTTTCCTACCACATCCAAGACTTCAACCCTGGTCAGACCATAGCCCCACTTGGTGAGAGTTTTCAAATATTCTGCCAGTTGAAGCTCAGCCTCTATAGTAAGGACAGTAGCGAGGCCCCTTCTGTCTACAAATCCTTCTGTAGGAACGAGTCCTCTAACTCGCTGGTTCAAGAAAAAAACCGAGACTCCAAGTGCTGCAGCCCCTTTTCTCAATGAGAGTTGTTTGGCCTTCACTTGGGATACAACCTCATTTAACCTGTCGGCCACAACCACCTTCCCTTTTTTCTTGTAGTGTTTTCCCATCCTGCAAGATAAAAATGTTCGGAATGAATTTCTGACACATTGCCAGGTATAAAGAGCATTGAAGAGTATTATTAATTAATTAAAAAAAATTCCTGACGTTGGTTTCTTCGTTGTGGCCGTTTAAACTACACAGAAATCAACAGCGGGAATAAGGTTGCCAACTGTTGTACTTTTCTTCCCCGCTGTCTGTACTTTTCTTACCCTGAGGGCTGTACTTTTCTTCCCCATTTTAAAAATGTGCCTATAATTTCTTTATTATTACCAGCAATGTCTCAAACTAAACTGGAAATCAAAGTGAAGGAACTACGCAATCGAACGGGACCCAACATGACACCGAGGGTATTTTGCGTTGGCAGTAGTGATACAAAGTGCAGAGGAGTGGAGAAAAGATTTTGGCGGGATTTTTTGGAGTTCGTTTCAGCTGGGCCGTACTACTTTGATACTATTCTTTGCAAACAAAGTAAAATGTGATTTCTTCTTCAAAAGGATCAGGCTTTCGTATCACATGCTCAAAATAGTTAAACGAAACCCCAGTAAGCAAGAGCAGCAGGTGTACTTTTCTTACCCGAGTTGTGAGTGTACTTTTCTTCCCCAACCTACCCCTACTACATGCATGTCATGGGAGTTTTTGTCTCATGACGGATGCAATTTTACAGCAAAATATGGGTGACATCGGAGATGGTCATGCATAAAGAGGCAAATCTCTCCTGGAATTACCCTTCTGGTAAGACTAAGCGCCAAAATATGGCGAGGTAAAAATCAGTGCGTAGTGGGCCCTATGGGATTCTGTTAATTCCCACAAGGCAGGAGCATTTACACCAACATGTCATGTTCAAAACATAATTCAAACGGAAAAGAAAACTGTTTATTGTACCTTGGCGTATGCACTGCCAACTGACGGTCATTTTTTAATCCTTGCCTAACCACCGCCAATGCTTGTCATGTCGCAGAAAATAAATTTGAACTCCGTTTTTTGTTGGTAGCCATGCTCCTCCAGTTTCAACCCCAATGCGCACCTCCTAACCCCCACCACGCACTGGCAAAAAGTCTTGCAAAATTTGGCCAAACCAGAAAGCCTTCCTAAAATTGGCTCAGACCTATAAGTCTCACCACAAAATGATCAGACCACAGTACAGGTCACATCAAACAGCTTTGAATAAGTTCACAATTGTGGCCAAACTGTAAGTAATCAGACCAAAATGTCTGACCATGTTGCGTGTGGTTAAACTTGTTGGTCTGGCCTAACCACATTTCGACAAGACTTTCAGCTCTGACCGAAACGCTTGTCAAGGCTTATTTTTGACTCGCCTCTAAAGTGGCGAAAAGTCTGACCTTTCAATTTTCGGGTGTCTATCGTGTTGTACAAACTCACCTGTTAAAGAGCAGCGAGAACCAACGAGCTCAACCCTACCAGTCGCACCTGTGATTTGTTGACTGACTGCCAGCAGATCAGCAAGTTGGATGTGAATCAGCCGCAACTATCTAATCTTATCACATTGCCACCTCTCGAACGTTCTCTCGCCATTTCGATACAGCCTTCAAACTGAATTAATTTGCACTGTCTCTTTTCCATCCTTTTTGCAAAGTTTTGAAAGCAGCATTTACTTGAACAGTTCAAATACGCACTTAATGTCACGGAACTTCTTTGTCCCATGGATAATGCAATTTTAAGATCATCCGATGGTGATATAATTTAGCGTCCGCCAGGTGAGACAAATTGCCTTATGAAAGTTCGATTTGCACTAGGCGTCGAACAATATGTGTCACCAGGCGGGAACAAAATTGTATCACCGTCGGATGAGGTGAAAACTGCATAACTCGTGGGACAAAAAATGTCCCATGACAAAATGGGCAACATGTTTCCATCAGTGACTTTTTTTTGCGGTGCATTTAACATGGCACAGATAAATAAAAAGCTGGGTAAAAACTTCGATTTAAACGCTTTGGCATGTTTTCAGACTGCACTGAGCGCTAGAGGCCCTTTCTGAACGCGCACTCTTAAAGTCATAAAGGACTTTTCTTGTCCCATAGATGAAACAACTTTAAGATGGTAAAATTTTGTGGCAGCCCGGCAGGACACATTATCTAGAGTAAATACTTTGCTGCAGGCTTCTGCCAATATCTGTCAGCAGGCTGGAGCACCGCCTTATGTGCTTAAAATTGCATCAGTCGTGGGGCAAGAAATGACCCGCAATTATTGTAACAATTAGCGTAATCCCACATGCGACTCAAAAATGCGCTGGTCCTTTCTGTCAATCAGCTCCTTACGGGTACGGCGTTCGTACGGGTTCGTAAGTTACGGATAGTTTTGTGCAATCAACGGGATGGCATTTAGGTTGTAATACATTCTTTGCCCGTCATACAAGCGGACACCGAAACCTTTGCATTAAGGACTACGTCATGCGTAACGCACGAGCCCAGTATCCGTAAGGACTTAAATATGCAGATGCGCGGGATCTTTGACGAGGCTGATGTAATGGGGCCTTGCAGTGATACTGCCCGCAGTCGATAAAGGAAGTCGTAGGCTGGTCACGAGGCGGGCGAGCTGCATGCGGCTGGCCACTCCCACACTCTTAAAACTCCTTACGGACACCATGTATCCGCAATAGAAACAGTTTTAAGAAATGACAATTACTAATGAACTTAGCTAGTAATACGAATGATTTATATCCGTATTACAAAGGGGCTTCAAGAATAGTCCGATCTTGGTAAGGGAGCATGGGGCGATTCGTAACACATGTCCTAATTTCCCATACGGGGGGTTCCGAATACGAATATGAATGTGAACTTTTCTCCGCCTAGGCGACTTGTTTGATTTGCAATCGACTCCGTAGGGTGCAGTGCTGTGGCATGGCCGCTGTTTTTGTCTCAATTTTGTGATACCACGAACACAGGTAAAACTTGAATTTCTGACTTTCAGGACTTTCCGTCTGTGGCCCTGAGTAACCAATCCCTCTTCACGCAACTTTTGGTTTACATAGTATCGTCCTTTACGAATGTAATCCAACCGTGGATTCTGTCATAACCTAACTTGGTTATTATTTGGGGCGGTTTGTGAAAGCCTATACCCACTGGGGTGATTCGTAACAAGGAGCATGGGGCGATTTGTAACAATAGGTGCGAGAGAGGTGATTGGTTCCTGGACTGAATATTCCTCTCCTGAGCCATTCCAATTGATGTTTCTCATCTAAACATAGCAACTAATGTTTGTTTCATGTTTTTTTTTGCAGCCATGGTTCGTAATTATCAAAAAAAAAAAAAAAATCGTGTAAGGACAAACCCCTGCAAAGTCCAAAGAGGACTTCAGTTAATCAATCTTGGCTACAGTGTCAGAGCGGCTGCCAAGGAATGCAGCGTAAATTATGGCCTATTGTTTCGAATGCACAAGAAAAGCAAAACAAATGAAAATGCAGAAAATCAAGATCTTCCAGTGTTGCAGCCTCCAGGTGGAAAGACTATTTTCAGTGGCCCAAAGAAGAATCTATAGCGGCATACTGCATGGACATGGCTTTGATTGGCTATGGTCTGTCAACATTAATGGTTTGGGAGCTAGCATATGAAACTGCTGAGTTAAACCAAATCAGTGTGCCACCAAAATGGAAAACTGATAGACTAGCTGGGATTGATTGGTTCCATGGTAAGTTTTTTTTTTCCTCTTTCACACGATTTTTTTACTTTTCTTGTTTATTTTTTTTGCCACTATTTTTTATATGTTATGTTTGCGGGTTCATGAAGAGACACCCGCAATTATCTATTCGAACACCAGAAGCTTGTAGTCTGCAACGAGCAGCAGCGTTCAACAGACACAATGTCAATACCTTCTATGAAAAGCTCGAAGATTGTCTGAAACGACATCCACGCTTTGCTGATGGCTCCAGAGTCGGAAACCTTGATGAAACTTCAAACAACACAGTGCAAAACACTCGGAAGGTTGTCTGTCCCAAGGGTGTGAAACAAGTGCACAAAATCAAGTCAGCTGAACGAGGAGTCTCTGTTACAACGTGCTGCATAGTGACTGCTTATGGCTCAATCATTCCCCCAGTTATGCTGTTTCCTGGGAAAAAAATTTGTGAGCTCTATGTTGATAAACGCCTATCCAGGGACTCTGGGCCTTGCCAATGAAAATGGCTATATGACCAAAAGTATTTTTGTGTCTGTTCTAATCATGTAATTAAGCACACTTGTGCGACTAAGAATAATCCTTTTTTTCTCTTAGTAATTGTTGAAACTCACCTTAGTGTTGGGGCATTGAATGTTGCCAAGGATAATGGGATAACAATTCTGACATTCCCTCCCCACTGCACACATCGACTGCAGCCCCTTGATGTGTCACTTTTTGGACCGTTCAAGACTCAATTGATGCTGCTGTGAATGCATGGCTGATCAATAATCCAGGACAGCAAGTGACAATATCCCAAATTGCTGGTTTTGTTAGAACTGCTTTGCTAAGGGCAGGAACAGTGGAAAACATAACAGCTGGATTTTCAAGAACTGGAATTATTCCATTTGATCGCAACATATTTACTGATGATGACTTTTTTATGTCCACGGTAACTGAGAAGCCCAACCCTGAAAGTACGATTGAAGTTCTTGCCATTGTTCCTGTAAGTGAGTCTGCAGCAGGCTCAAGCAATGACGCTGAAACACTTGAAGAAGGAAGTAGTATCCCCTCCACTGTAAGTGTGACACGAGCAGACAACAGTAGCAGCTTGTCAACGAGAAGAAGTCTAAGTCCAGGAAAACTGTACGAAAAAGGAAATTGACTGCAACTGAAACGCCCCCCCTAAACAATGAAGCTGAAGTTCCGACTACTGCCCCCACTGTCATCACTGAAAAAAAATCAAAGTCAAGAGAAGATGTAAAGGGAGACTTGTGACCACTGTAACTGAAACACCTAACACCACCAATGAAGCTGAAGCTTCCACTGCATTTCCCACCAAAAAACCACAGCAGCAAGCTTGTCTAGTGCCAGTAAAATTATTGAGCCTGAACTAACCATTACCAGTGTGTCTTCCCCAAGTGAAAGTCAACCGCAAGCAGGGAGCAGTGGCCAATCAGCATTCATCACCCCAAGGCAGTTCAAGGGTTTCCCCAAAGGCAAAAGAAAGTGAGCCTAAACGCAAACAAAGAAGGAAGGGCAAGTGTTTCATCCCAAGGGACACACCAAAAAAAGAAGAAGTGGAGGCAAGACAGAGAGAACGGGATGAACAGGAACGACAGAAAGAAAAAAACAGACAGAAGAGGGCAGAAAAAAGAGGCTAGCAGAAGAAAGCAAAGCAAAGAAGGATAAAGTAAAAAATTTTTGGACTTCAGTGATGAAAGTTGTGTTGATGATGATTTAATGTCAATACCTGCTGCACCTGTTAAATCTAAATCCAGATCAAAATCAAAATCGAAGTCCAAATCTAAACCCAAAATCTACATTGCCTGTTCTTGATTCCTGTCCCATGGAAGGCGATCATGTTTTAGTTTTAAATGACTGTCCCTGAAAAAAAATACTTTGCGGGGAAAATAATCAAAGATGTTGATGATAATGGAGTTTAGGAATCTCTTATCTTCGCTTGTCACGTAAAGCCAAAAATAGATTTACAATGCCGGCTAAACCTGATTTGAAAGTTGTGAACAGAAGTGACATCAAGGCAATTCTGCCTCATCCTGCTTCTCACCCTGGATTAACTAAACGGCAGCAGACCCTTTATAGTTTTGATTTCGATTTTAGTGATTATAAACTAGGTTGAATCACAATATTATTTTTCTAATGTACTAAATGTGATCTAAGATTTTTTGTGATTTAATTAAGACTGTATACTTAAAGTAAGCTTATTATTGTGAGGTTTTCAGTCCAAAAGAGACTTTGTGTTTTTATTAATTATTGATCTTTTGATCGATGGGGTTTTTTATTATTTAATGTATTTTAATCAAAGACCTGTGATATTTTTTTTTTTGTTCAAAGGTCTGTGATAAGTAATTGTGCAAATTTTCTAATAATTCTGTATCAGTCTACCAAAATAAAAACATCTCACTTCTTAAGCCTTGAGTCATGAAAGAATTATTGAACATTTTACCCCAGACATACAAAGCATTATTTCCTCACAAAATCTAATTTTAATTACTCTAAGTAAAAAAAAAATATTGGTATCAACAAATGAAAACTGGTTTTCTCTTTTCCCGGAAGAAATCATTTCCTGTTTGATAGTTTCCTGACTCTTTTTCTAGTAGTCAGGGCTGTAAGCGACAGATTTGGAACCAACCTTGCACTTTCTGACCCCGGTCTGGCGCTTTGCACGGGTGTTCTGGAGACCCAATATAACGATTTTAGAGTTGGAGGCACTCTGGAAAACGCTGCAGAACCCGTTGGGAAGCGAAAATCTACTTTTTGTAGGAAAATTCGTATGAAACGCCTTACAATTTCCCGAAATCGCCGCTGCATGCGTATATCTCGTCATATGTGGACCCTTTTCTGTCTTTTTGGCTTTACAAATTCTGCTTCATCATCGACCTTCAGTAACCAAGACCTAGAAGAGTGTCATTATGTCATTGAGGAAATATCTTTGACTAATGAGCACACCAAAATTAGCTACAATGTCTTTGAGGTGCCTGAAAGTTCAGAGTTATTTCTCTTGATGTGTGTTGGGGGTTTATGCTTGTTTTTTGGGGCCCAACACTTATCGAAACTGACACAGTTGGCACGAAGCGCACCCTTAGAGAAGTATCATAATGTTTTTGCTGCGCGAGAAATATTTTTTTATCACCTTTCTGGTGAGGTAAGGGTTGAACTCTTTCATTTTACTTTGATGAAAGACGCCCATGTCTGTTGCCACTTTTTTATGAAATCCTTTTGACACAGTTTGGTAACGGCAACTCTTCTGGTTCAGAAACTACAAGTGCGTACAAGGTGGAGAAAACAGTAAAAATCTTTTATTCTTCTGAAGGATGGCACACGGCTTTGCACACGGCCAATCCAAGTGTGAGACTATAGGTGTGAGACATTTTTTCTCACGCTTACATGTGTGAGCCACGTTTGTCTCACGCTGGAAAGTGTGAGACATCGATGTCTTACACTTGCAAGTGTGAGACACGGTTTGTCCTACACTTGCAGGCGCTGGACCCGTGGCATTGAACCACAAATCTAGCATAGGCAGCAAGTGTGGGACAAGCTGTGTCCCACACTTGGAAGTGTGCGACTTCGTTGTCCCACACTTGCAGGCGTGAGACAAACGTTGCTCACACTTGCAAGCGTGAGACGAACGTGGCTCACACTTGTAAGCGTGAGACAAAATGTCCCGCACTGTCTCACACTTGGATTGGCAGTGCCAAATTGACGAGGCCCGGGAAATAATGCAGTTTTTTATTTTGCTTGACAGCTTGTAAGTGCAGTTGTTTTTTTTTTTTTTTTGTTTTTTATTCCATAGCAGACAAAACCCATTCGACCATGGGTTCTGATCCATTTAATCCTGGATGGGTTAGGACCCATTGAGACTCAGCTCTTTGCGTTAGCTTAAGAAACGCCTGCTAGGTTAGGCAAAAGTGTGATGCAAAGGTAGGCAAACCCGCTACCCACCGACCAATTAGGGGTAACTTGTAAACTACTGCAAGGCCACCACCATTGTGTTAAGCGCCGAAAGTTACGTTTGTGACGACCATCACGGTTGACAAACCTTCTTTGAAAAAGAAATAATGACAAGCCTTGTCCGAGTTCGGACACTTTGTAATGGTTTAGACCCTTTATGGGTGCAATCCATACAAATGAGTACTTTTCAGACACCCCTTACATGGGTTTCGGGTTGCACCCGTAAGAATGGGTTGGACTAAATTAAATGGGTGCATGAAAAGTGCCCATGTAAATGGATTTAGGAAATGGGTTTTGTTTTTGCCAACCGTTCAACAGAATGTGCAAATGGTAAAATGTTTGCTTCGTACACTGGTGTGTGTGCCGTTACAAGGACACTTCCATAGTTGACGAAGACAAGTACGGATCTCTGGGAGCGCGTAGGTTCCAAGCGTTTTTTTCAAGAGCGCCGATGCAAGTACTCTATGCTTTTCCAAGCGCTTTCCCATAGAAGTGTGTATCTCTTCAAAACGACATGCGTACATTGTATGCTCTAGCTGGAGCATGCCTGCAAGCACGCACGAGCAAGTGCACACCTGCCATGTACACACTAACTGGAGCATACATCTAGTGCATGAGGGATAGAGACTTGTCAGCTCCACGAAGCGTATGGCAGGTATGCACTTGTTGGTGCATGCTTGACTGGCATGCGCTAGCTAGAGCGCGCTTGCAGGCATGCTGCAGCGACAGCATTCAATGTACGCTTTTCGATTTGTAGAGAATTTCTCAGCACTCCCTAGTCTATCGGATCCTGTCTTAGCATCATTTAATCAGTTAACATCTACGTCTTCTCTTCAGTTACCTACCCTCAGAGCTTACATTACAATATTTCTCGCGCAGCACAAACAATTATGATCCTTCTCTTAGGATGCGTTTTGAGTCAACTGTGTCAGTTTCGTTAAGAGAACGGCCCGAGAAAACAAGCAACAACTCTAACATTCATCAAAAGAAATGACTTGGAACTCCGAGCAACCTCAAAGACATTCACGCTAATTTTGGTGTACACAATTCTGAAAGATATTTCCCCAAGGACAATATGACACTCTTCTACGCCTTGGTAAGTGAAGGTCCATGTTGAAGCAAAATTTGTAAAGCCAAGAAGACAGAAACGGGTCCACATTTGACAAGATATAAGCATGCAGCGGCGATTTCGGGTGATTATTAGGCGTTAAATAGGAATTTTTCCTAGAAAAGGTAGATTTTTGCTTCCCACCGGTCCCTGCAGCGTTCCCCAGGGTGCCTCCAACTCTCAAATCGTTATTTTGGGTCTCTAGAACACCCGTGCAAAGCGCCAGACCGGGGTCAGAAAGTGCAAGGTTCAACCGCTTACAGCCCTGACTATAGTCAGTTCACTACTTGTTACGAATCGCCCCATGGCTGTTACGATTCGCCCCGAGCCGGGGTGATTCGTAACAGATGCAAGGGTTTGAAATTCACTGTACCATTGCTATATAACAGACCTAAGAGTGTGTCTGGTCATTTTTTAAGCTAGATAAAGGGTTGAGCTATCAATCGGGCCATATCTGAGTCAAATTGTGCCAAAAATACGTCCGTAAAACCCAAATTCCAAAATCTGTTACAAATCGCCCCATGCTCCCTTACACGAACAATGAAGATTTCTTCCTTTTTCTTGTCCCAACACACTAAATGTCATGGGACTTTTATTGTCCCATGAATGATGCAATTTTAAGCACATCCGGTGGTGATGCAATTTTGTGTCCGCCAGGCGGGACAAATGGTCTAGTGAGAATACAATTTGCAGCAGGCGTCGGACAAAATGTGTCTCCAGACGGGAACAAAACTGCATTCGGATGTGCTTAAAATTGCTTAAATTGTGGGACAAAAAAAGTCCCATGAGTGTGAAGATGGTTTAACAGGTCTGAAAGAGGTCGCAAAGTTTCTGGCCCACATCAAAATGAGCGTTCTGATTCGCCGCAAAATTGATTCGAGGTCGCAATTAAAAACAAGAGGCAAAGAACATCAAGAGAGTTATACCCAAGGAGAACAAGCAGGTCAAGGTGAGGTCATAATGATGTCTAAGGATGGCATTCTGACGTCAACATGACATCCTTCAACATCATTTTGAGTTCATTTTGACATCGTTTTGACTTGCTGTTCTCTCTGGGTACCAATTGAAATTGATATTTAATTAAAGAAGGCAGATCCATTCTTTATCTTTATCCATTGTTCATCAATGTACATTAAGTGTCATGTGGGTGTAAATACTGGTCGAGTGACGAGGTCTGCTGGTCGAACTGCAACATCATGTGTTGGCATCTTCAAGAACGTGCTCATTGATTTTTTTTTCCTATTTTTTTTTCCGGAAAGTTGTGACAGAAAGAGTTTACTGAAGGATGGCTACACGGGTTGGACGTAACGAGCGTACATGGTTCGCGTCACGTCCTGGATGAACCGCGCTGACTGCTTGAGCGTCCCGGGCCGCTCGGGGTCGCTGAGGTTGACGTACGCCAGGCCGGTCTTCAGGCTGCGCCGAAAGGACAAAGGTCAACCTTCCTGCTGGACTCCTGATCATACAGTGTGGATGTACTTGAACAAGTTTGTTCGTGACCCTCACACAATTAATTTTCTGAAATTTTTCGAAAAAAATGTTAGAAAAACACGCATGCGTGAAACTGTGTAAGACCACGTACAAAAAAAATTTCACACCAACCGCTTTCCTGTATGAGTCGCTCAGTGTGGGATGTATTGAAATAACGCAATTACATCAATAAATGAATCTTGATTTCTCATATGCAGGTCAAATCATCTTAGCAAACTAGATCTATCCGTAAAGTTTGCACAACATTGTCTGTAGTACAGATACGTGGAATGCTTTATAGAGGCTATTGAGAGACTATGGGCAGGGGGCGGTAACACCCTAAAGCGGCAGAGAGGCGAAGCTCTCGCTCCGATCTTGCTTCGTGCAGGTGTCACGGACTTCTTCGAGATTATTCAGACTAGGCCATTGTTTGCAAATCGCTTTGCACATATCGAAAGAGTATCACATAAAGGGTGGATTAGACTCATTGGCAATCCCTTATCTGCTACTTCAGCCCCCAAAATATCCAAGTGAAAACACCGAAAAATACAATAAGTCTAATAATTTAGGGGAAAACGTCGGAACGCCATATTTGTGTAAACAATGCCGCGATTTTCTCTTTTGTACTAAGTAAAATTGGGAGTTTTGGGAAGGTTAATGCGTCTAATGCACCCTAAATTTGCTCTTTCGATCTGTGCAAAGCGTTTTGAAAACGATGGCCTAGTTTTAATCATCTCGAAGAAGTCCGTAACCCCTGCACAAAGTGAGAGCTTCGCCTCACTCCTGCTGTGTAGTGTTACCGCGGTGGGTAAGGATCCGATTTAAACATATCCTTACTTGTAACCGTCCTTCAGGCTCCAAGCCATGTAGCCGACGACGTTGCAAGCGTCTTCGTTGACAGCTCTGGCCAGGGCCCGCATGTACACCTGCAAGCAAAGACCGCGGCAACTTCGTGAGACCACACTCTCAGCCGTTTACTGACTATTTCTCATTAGCAGCCGTATTTCTGTAAGCAACCATAATACTTAGTTGGCTGAGCGATAGCGAAGCCTGTTACTCAGGTGGAGTTGAAAAATGTTTCCTGTCTGCGTGCGTGTGTGTGTGTGTGTGTCCGCGCTACTCCTCCTGAACGGCTCGGCCGATCTCGGTGAGATTTTGCACGCTTTTTGGGTATGTCCTTGGCTCGGCACACGCGAAATTTCACCATCCTAGCTCAACTGGTTCGGTTTTTATAGCCGAAAAACACCTAATAACGGCGAAAAATCGAGTTTTCTGCAGGCAGATCACTTCAGACTTGAAGGAAGGGGGGTCTGGGGGGCGGAGCCCCCCAGCCCCAAGTTAAAAAGTCAGGCCAATGCAGCCCTAGGCACGAAATCAAATGCTGTTTTGACCTTCAATCACGCAAATTGGTATGCGGATGCCTGGAAAAGAAACCTAGCCTGCCGAAGGCAGGCAAGCGCCGCAGGCCAAGGTAGGTGTAACGCCAGGCGTGGATTGTCGTAACTGGCGCAGCGTCGCGAAGCCTGTTACGACAAGACACGGTCTGGCGTACACCTACCTTGTATTTAGTTCTTAAATACTTAAAAATTTCTTTGTAATTTACAAAGAAAACTGTAATATCAGTACAGTAATTAGTAATTGCTAAGTAAAACTGACAAAAAATACTAAGTATTATGGTTGCTTACAGAAATGCGTATGCTAATGAGAAATAGTCAGTAAACGGCTGAGAGTGCAAGTGTCGAAATGTGGAGGTGTGGAATTTACAGCCTCCACACTTAGAAGTGCAGACACTGCAGTCTCCGCACGTCAAAAGTGGAGCCCCACACGCTTTGCACTGTGTCAAAGAGGTCGTGAAATGCTTAGTGTGTCTCTTCGCCCTTCTTGAAGCGTACCGGAGCTCATGCGCTCCGATCTACCACGCTTATTCCATGAACGTGACATCACGTTGAAGCGAATGTGAAAAAGTGTCACATTCGTTCCAACGTGATGTCACGTTCCTGAAATGAGAGTGTAAATGCATGGGAGCAATATCGCTGAAGCGAAGTTGTACGCTTCACACTCAGCAAACCTCCCAAACTATTCCAGGCCTTACATAGAAAAGCAGCTTGTTATAACAAAATATTTTTAAGCATACATAAGCTTTCACAGAAAATACTTCATACACTCTGAATGTAGTGGGACATTCTTTGACCCATGGGTTATGCAATTTTGAGCACATCCGACGGTGGTACAATTTTGTTCCCACATGGTGACACATTTTGTCTGACGACTGCTTCAAACTGTACTGTTATTAGACAATTTGTGCCACCTGGCGGACACAAAATTACATCACCATGGGATGTGCTTAAAATTGCATAGTCATGGGACAAAAAAAAGGTCCCATGACAATTTAGTGTGTAATTAACGAACTATCTTCGTACGTTTAACTAAGTAAATCAGTTTGTACCAAGGTTTGTACTATGCTCAAAATACTTCGTAAGGTTTTAAGCCTGCAAGAAGGACGGAAGGTCTTCGAGCGTAAGTTGTTCTATGCTTGAATGAAGCGTAGAACTACACTCCAAATTCTGCTGAGCTTTCCCGCGTAAAACGAACAAAACTATAGTATTACTAGAGGTACGCGCCGTTTAGTTTGGGCGCGTAGTGGCTGAGCGATGCGACTTAACACATTCTAATGCACGCGGTTTTGCAAGTCAGACCTCGCTGTTCACGGATGGATTTTGATATTGGCATCTGCCACGCTTCTTGCGAACTTACGGGTGCATGGCCGGGACTACTTCTCTTTTATATGTGCCTTCTTCCTATCTCTTCCCACACAATGCTGGTTCCAACCATGCGCGTCAGCGCGGGGGCAAGGGGTCTGGGACCTAGGGGCAAAATCAGCTTATGGGCTCATATTGGATGAAATGTAGGTCTGGAGTACAAATACAATACAAACACAGAAATGTGCTGGGATAAACATTAAAACTCAATTCCAAAATTGTAACCTAAAATTGGTCGAATTTCGGTAAAGCGTGAGTCTAGGAAAAATCCGGAAGTCATTTTTGTGTTCAGCACACCAAAAACTGCAGGAAACAATGCAAAACTCGACCTGAAAATTTTGGTCCAAAATGACCTAACTTGTGATGAAAATTTGAGTCGAAATGGAAGTGATTTTCGTGATCAGCATACTCGATTAAGAGTGGGTCTTGGGAAAAATTTGGTAGTCATTTTTGTGCGAAAGACACAAAACATTCTTACTTTCATTTTTCGTATTTTTCTCTGTTGACACTCCGGAAGGATTTCAACCATTGTAGAATGTTAAAAAAACCATCTTAGAACCTATTTGAGAACCCCTTTGCTCCTTAGATTGTTTTATTTGCTGAAGTGCCGTCCCATCTCGTAGACGGCTTGTAAGTGCGGCAGCAGGTGTGAGAAATTAGTCAGCCACTCGCTGCAACCAACCTAACAACGATAATAACCAAGTTCAAAGGGATGCTTTGAATATTTCAAATGATGATAGTTGTTAATCTGAGATAATCTCCCCGTGGAGGAGGTTTGGGAGACATCAGGTGCGAAATTTGAATACAATTCGTGCGGTAGTTACTGAGAAACGTGAGCGTGTACGCTACCACAGAGGGAAAGACAGACAGGCACGACCAGTCACTTTTTGGTGCGACCAAACACGACATGGGGTTCGCTATCGCTCAGCCAATGACTGCGCAACCTAACTTACGGTGTTCTCAGTAACTTACGACCAATTTCTTCATATTACGAACAAATTTTTCTGTATGGTCAGATTTGTGTCGTAAAGTACTGAGAAGCTAAGCTGTGATTAGAATAGAATCTGGAGAAAAAGACGACTCTCTTGTCCATCAGTCCTTGAAGAAATAGTTTGTGACACCATGTTAAAAATGCGTTTCTCTCAGGATTATGACCGAATTAGACTGCACGGCATTTCTCAGTAGGAAGTCGGAAGGGTGCGCTCGGGTGCGCTTTAGATTTCCAGTGAACACGCTCGCCACGAGGCGAGTCGACAGCCCAACACGTACGCTATGGTAGCCCTCTCGGTCAGGGTCGTGGCATTCTTCGTCGCGGCGGCCGAAGTAGCCGTTCGCGGTGACTAGCACGGGGAAGTTGTTGAACCTGTCCTTGATCCAGTTGAGCGCAGCCCTGAAGCCCCACGGAGCCACCTGGAACAGAACGCGCAATGGGCCTGCACTCTAAAAAACACACTAAAAACCCTACGAAGAACGCTCTGCGTAAATGCAAAGAAAACTAAGGCTTCGCAGCCTATGAAGGGAACACACTAAATGTCATGGGACATTTTTTGGCCCACGAGTTATGCAATCTTAAGCACATCCGACGCTGATATAATTTTGTTCCTGCCTGGCAACACATTTTGTCTGACGCCTGCTGCAAATTGTACTTCCATTAGACAATTTGTGCCGCCCGGCGCACACAAAATTGTAGCACCATTGGATGTGCTTAACCTTGCATCATTCATGGGACGAAAAAAGTCCCTGGACATTAAGTGCACTGAGAAAACCTTACAAACTATTTTGGGCCTTACAAAGAAAAGTAGTTTGTATAACAAAGTATTTTGAGCATACGTAAGCGTACAAAGAAAATACTTCGTAATTTACGAACTATTTCTTCGTATAACAAAGTATTTTAGTTTGTTATACGTATGCTCAGAATACTTCGTAAGGTTTTAAGAGTGTGTGTCGGTGACGGCCCAACCGGCCGCGCGCTCACCACGAAGCCGTCGCGCGCGGTGCGCAGCCACGAGGCCCTCGAGTGCGAGACCGCGTTGGTGTCGTTGTAGATGGAAGCGACGAGGCCGGCGGCGGTGCCGGGCCTCGTCAGGCTCGTGGTGTAGTGGTTCAGCCCGATGAAGTCCATGGTGCCGGAGATGAGCGCCTTCTCCGCGGCGGTGAAGACGGGCAGCCGGGACGCGGCGAGGCCGTTGCCGAAGCTGTTCCTGTCCACGACGTCCCGCATGGCGGCCGGGTAGTCGCCCACCATGACCGGGTCCGCGAACCAGGCGAAGGTGAAGACGTTGGCCCTCTCGGCAGCCTCCGCGTCCTCGCGGCTGTTCGAAGCCGGCATTTGGAACTGGAGGTCGAGCGCGCTGCCCACTTTGCCTGTCATGTAGCACAACAAAATGGCATGCTTTCCGAAAGATGTTCACACTCCTAATATCTTACAACGAAATATTTTACATGTCACATGTTTCAGACATGTTACAGTGAGCTTCCGGGCACGGTAAAAACGGTACCTGGTTTTCCCAGGAGCCCAATGGCGAAGACATAGGTGATTTCCAGGGGGTTCCTGGGAAAACCAGGAACCGTTTTTACCGTGGGGCAAGCATAGCGATATTTCTTCAATTCGTGACACGAATTTTTTTTTGTCAGATTCTAAGAATACAAAGAAAAAACTTCGCAATACGAAGAAAAATCACACTGCACCACTGCGAATTCTGCGGCAACTTTGGTTACAACAAAATTGACAGGCCGTTTGGAATGCCAAAAATTGTGGGGCTTCGGTCGCCTGCAATGCAAAATTTTAGAAAGGGGGGGGGAGTATTTCAAGGCCGCAGGCATGCCAAATTTATGGCATTTAAAACGGTTTGGCGATTCTACGCAAACGAAATGGCATGGGCCTTTTTTTGTCCCATGAATGATGCAATTTTAAGCACATTCATCAATAATACAATTTTGTGTCCAGCGGGTGCCACAAACTGTCCAATGAATTAGCAAAATGCATCAGTCATTAGACAATATGTGTTACCTGCTATGGACACAAAATTGTGTCTAGGATAAGCTTCAGGTAGCGTCATTCATGGGACAAAAAAGTCCCATGATATCTATTGTGTGGCAAGCAAACTTTAACCAGCCACCGGGCTAATAAAGTTGGCCAGGAAAAAATGACACATTTCGTGGACAACCGTAGACAGTGTCAAAACGCGTTTGTCAACCCTACGAACAACTTCAAAATATGGCGGACCATAATTTTCACTCATATTTAAAATTTTGGACTTTAGCCACCAGCCTTGCCGTGTGCAGTTTTCTTCATTATGAGAAAATTCCACGCAAGACATGAAGAGTGTGAAGCAACTTAAACTCTTTAGTGCACTGTACCTCCTTGGATCATTTTGTAGGTGTTGTTGTACAGATGGTAGGCCATGGCGTGGGCCAGGATCATGTTGTGGACGCAGCCGTAGCCGCCAGTGCCCTCTAGGCCGAGGCCGGGGGCGCTCTCCACCCCTTCGTACGCTTCCATGCAGTGAGCCTGGGGCGAGTCCAGGAGCACCCACATCTTGACCTGCGCAGGGCGGCCGCGCTTTAGTTTCGTGCAACTCGACACCTGAACAGAAGACCCGGCTATCTTTTCAGAGCGATTTGAGAACCGGCTACCTTTTCAGAGCGATCCGAGAATCGGCTATCTTTTCAAAGCGACCTGAGAACCGGCTATCTTTTACGAGCGATCCGAGAACCGGCTATCTTTTCAGAGCGGTCCGAGAACCGGCTAACTGACTTTTTTTAAGAAATTGAGTTTCTTACATTAATCGATAGAACAGGTGATGCGGATTATTTTAATGTAAGAAACTCAATTTCTTAAAAAAAAAGTCAGTTAGCCGGTTCTCGGACCGCTCTGAAAAGATAGCCGGTTCTCGGATCGCTCGTAAAAGATAGCCGGTTCTCAGGTCGCTTTGAAAAGATAGCCGATTCTCGGATCGCTCTGAAAAGGTAGCTCTGAAAAAATTAAGAAGATTTCTGTGATGAATAATCCATAAAACGGCCTAACGGCCTTTACAAATGAATTTCATAAAATAACGAAATGTTACAGTTACTTTACAAGGAATTTGCAAAAATAAAATTCGTAAATTCACAATAATTTCTTACAGTGTTCGAGTGCGTACGGCAAAATCTGTTCCTGGTTTTCGCAGGACTGTCTTTTCTACAGACAACCTCGGAAACCCGGGAAGAGTTTTCACCGTGGGCACTTCAGAGTTATTTCCTTTTTCGCAGGACTTCGAGTGGTCGCGGCTCCGCGGTTAAACGTTCGTCAAGAAGAGACGCTCCACCTGGACCGCACTCTTAAAACCTTACGAAGTATTTTGAGCATACGTATTACAAACTAAAATACTTTGTTATACGAAGAAATAGTTCGTAAATTACAAAGTATTTTCTTTGTAAGCTTACGTATGCTCAAAATACTTTGTTATACAAACTACTTTTCTTTGTAAGGCCCAAAATAGTTTGTAAGGTTTTCTCAGTGTGGCATGTACAGTCTACGCTGGAGCATGCTTGGCAAGTATACGCAAGATGGCGTGTACTTGCAACCTGCAAGCACACGTTGCTCTGCTTTACATGCAAAAGGTAGGGGGCTTTAGCAACAGTGCACTTATGGCAAGCATGCCAGGTTGACTCCAGGTGGAGTGTACATGCCAGATTGGCTGTAGGTATGTACTATGGCGACACTTGAGTTTGGATATGTGTTGTCGACCCCTCGCTCAAGACTATGCAGCCTCTTTTATGCCTTTTGGCTCACCCTGTCGCCAAAAGACATGAAGGCCAAGTCGGCGAAGTCAACGAAGCGGTCCTGGATGGCTTCCGTGAACCAGCCGCCGTCGTCCAGGTACATTTGCGGGATGTCCCGGTGGTGAATGGTGACCTGGGGGCGGGCAGGGCCATTAAGAATCCGGCTGGACCTTCCCCTTTCCATACACACTCAATGTTATGTTCAATTTAGTACAAAATTTTACAGTTTTTCGAGCAGATGAACTTTTCGTCCGACTATCGCACGAGAAACGGCACAAATCCCGCCATACCTGCGGCAAAATTCTTTACAAATGTGTACGGGAAGTTTATCTGTACAAAAACTGTAACGGCTCGCACAAAAATTTATAGTTGGTAAGAAACCGAGGTGGTTTGCACTCGCGTTATAGTCGGGTTTCTCTATCTGTAAGAGCTAGCTAGTACGCCTGATAAGCGTATTAGCCGAAATTCTAAAACTTTCACCTATTTTTGGAGTGTTTTGGGTTGTTTTAGGAAATCTCGATTATTTTGAGGCGTAAGGCATTCACAGGTTTTGAGAGTGCATATACCCCTCCTTTGAAATACTGCTTGAAAACAACAACAAAACTACAATAATTGCTGGCATTTCTTTTTCATTCCAGGAATGGAGGGAATGGACTGTACTTTTAAAGTACAACAAGTGCTGAACAAAGTGCAAGGGAACCGAGTGCAGTCCAGGCCTCGTTGTACTTTGCACACTTTCTCGTTGTTCTTCTGGGTAACACGACGGTTCACACAAATTTTTTCACATATTGAAGTTTCACCTAATGTAATTTTGCATAGACGGTTTCACACAATTTTTTTCACACAAATTTATTTTTACCTACAATGCCAGTTAACACAGTTCGGTATCGAATCGAATCAGGGGGTTCGATTCGGGGACAGATCTCTCTGCTTCGACCCCGAATATTCGAAATTTCGAATCGACTGTGGCTCGTCTTCGAAACGGTTGCGCGGGAACGGTTGAAAGCCGCGCACACAGCGTTGTTTTAAAATCAAATCAAGACCATATTTGGTTTTCCTGCTTTTTGTCCTTCCTTTATACAGAAAATGTGTTTTGAAACTCACTGTTTTCTTTGTTTCAGTGATTCGATTCTGAATCTTTACAATTCGGTTCGATTCAACTCGTGAACTTTTTCCAGATTCGATTAGAACTCGAAACTATTTTTTTACATTCTATACGTGAGTTTGATTCGAAATGAAAACCCTTGATTCGCATATCCCAACCGTCTAGTCTTCGTAATAAAGGGCCGCCCTCTGTAGGTTCAATCGGCAAGGGACCGCTTATTAATGGGTTCACACTAAAATTGTGTGAACAATGTGTAAAACATTGTAAATGTAAATTGGTACTCTATGTGAAAAAAAATGTGTGAAAATGTATATGCGAAATTACATTAGGCAAAACTTCAGTATGTGAAAAGGTTTGTGAACCGTGAACCGTCGTGAACCGTTCTCCTGACATGTCGGATTGCAATCCTTGTAAGTATTATTTTTTTCTCAGCCTTCGTCGTACTTTTGCTGTAGTATTCACACTTTTTCTTGCAGTTGAGAGTGAACTCACTACAGGCTCAATGTTATTCGCGATCAGCTCATCGATGAGGTTGTTGTAGTAGTCCAGAGCCTCCGCGTCGTAGCCCTCCTCCTGGCTGCCCCTTGGCAGCAGCCTGCTCCAGGCCAGGGGGAAGCGGTACATGTTGACCTGCAGCACACCCAGGACTTGGTCAGCAAGGTTGCAGCGCGCCACCACGGCGCCGAGAAGGGTGCTACACACACACTCATTTCAGGAACGTGACATCACGTTGTAACGAACGTGCCAAAATGTCACGAGAACAAAATTGTACCACGGTCGGATGTGCTTAAAATTGCATCATTTAGGGACAAAAGAAAACAGTCCCATGACATTCAGTGTGTACGAGAAAAAATCTCATTCAACGAACGTTAATGAAAGCAGATGATACTCGTTTGGTTTTCTTTCGATGCCTCGTCGTCCGCATGGGTCTGCCGGCGCCGTACCGGGGGAGTGAGTGGCCAGTGAGCAGGCCGTCGCGCGCGAGGAGGGGTGCCATTGTCGATGTTTCGCGCAGACTGCGAGCCATGCCTCACTCACCATCCCGCCCCGGCCGCCAGCCCCTATTATTGTTAGGATTCACACTTTGGTTTCTGGACTCTGGAGTAAAAGCTAGCTGACACCTTTATATGTCTTGTATTGTTCTAGGTAGCGATAAAGGTAGCAGTAAAGGTATCATCTGCTAAAAAGTCCTATGACACAGCCGCGTGAGCTGAGCCCAGTCTTCCACGACGGAGGTGTCCCCTACGCTGTCCAGAAACGTGACCTCACGTTGAAACGAACGTGACAAAGTGTCACGTTCGTTTGAGCGTTGTGTCACATTCGTTTGGATGTGGTTCACAAACAAACGTGACACAACGCTCAAACAAACGCTCAACAAACGTACACACTAAATGTCATGGGACTTTCTTTGTCCCATGAATGATGCAATTTTAAGCACATCTGGTGGTGATGCAATCTTGTGTCCGCCAGGCGTGACAAATTGTCTGCTGAAAGTACAATTTGCAGCAGGCGTCGGACAAAATGTGTCGTCCAGACGGGCACAAAATTGTATCAGCGTAGGATGTGCTTAAAATTGCATAAATCGTGGGACCAATTAAGTCCCATGACATTTAGTGTGCAACATTTTGTCACGTTCGTTTCAACGTGAGGTCACGTTCCTGAAATCGGAGTGTAGGGGACACCTCCATGGAAGACTGGGCTCAGCTCGCACGGCTGCGTCATGGGACTTTTTTTTTCGTACACACGAAATGTCACGCGACTTCTTTTTGTCCCTGAATGATGCAATTTTAAGCATATCCGACCGTGGTACAATTTTGTTCTCGCCTGGCGACACATTTTGTCCAACACCCACTGCAAATTGTACTTTCACTAGACAATTTGTCCCACGTGGCGGACACAAAGTTGTACCGACCGATGTGCTCACTGAGAAAACCTTACAAACTATTTTGGGCCTTACAAAGAAAAGTAGTTTGTATAACAAAGTATTTTGAGCATACGTAAGCTTACAAAGAAAATACTTCGTAATTTACGAACTATTTCTTCGTATAACAAAGTATTTTAGTTTGTTATATGTATGCTCAAAATACTTCGTAAGGTTTTAAGAGTGCTTATAATTGCATCACTCATGGGACCAAAAAAATTCCCAAAGTTCAATGCCACTTAGTGTGCAGGTGATGCAATTTTAATGATATCCGATGGTGATACAATTTTGTTTCAGCCAAGTGGGGCAAATTGTCTACAGTAAATACAATTTGCAGTAGCCGACTCTGACAATATGCGTCAAAGTTGTATCACCGTCGCATGTGCTTAAAATTGCGTAAGTCGTGGGCGAGGGGCAACGCAACCACTCGCAAAATCCTGAGTCCACTGAGTGGCGAGTGGCCGAAATCCCGCGGTTGAAATCTCGTGAGATCCCTTCGGAATCTGGTTAAATCTCGCGAAATCCTATCAAAATCCGGTAAAATCCCGTGAAATCCCATCGAAATTTCGCGAAATCTAGCTTCAGTTTGACGCGAAACCTAGCGTAATCTCACGAGCTCATAAGCACGTCATAATGGCAAAAAGTCAAGTTTGACGGACTGAATATTCTTTAAAATGAACAGAGAAAAGTCTGCACAGCATCGCTTCTCGTAATACGAAAAACACGAAGGAATGGTAAAATTTGCGAAGAATTCCTTTATTATGAAACCAAATCCTTCGTATTACGAAGCATTTCTCCATAATACGAAGAACACTGTTATAAAAGTCTTGTTGAATCTACGACATAGGTCCCAACAATACGTGCTGTTAACAAAATGTTGCTGTCATTTCAACAACACGTGTTGTTATGACGAGGAAAATCAACTAACAGTGTCTTTAAATAAATGACATATTCTTGTTCCTTGATATTAACAATATTGTCGTCACTTGAACAGCCATGTTGTCACAACCTTCTGCCGTCGGTTGAAGGTTTGTCAAGCAACAAAAAAGATCATCGAAATGACAAATATTGCGGATGAAAGGACGCACTGCTCGATGGCGCTCTCAAAGCCTAATGCAAGGGCGTGAAAGACTGTTAATGCGCTTACGAGCGGAGTTTTTATGCCTTTGTGTTGCCAGTGTATGCAATAACTTCACCAACAACATTTTGTTGTTAAATCAACAATAGACCCGGCCTGTTATTTTAACAATACATCTCTTAATAAAAATTAATCAACATTTTGTTGTTGATTCAACGACATTTGTTCTGAGAGTGAAGAAATTAATGCCTTTATTTTGTTCAAACTTACATAGCATGCTGCGTAGACTTTCTAGAGTGAACTAGACCGTGCAAAGCTAAAGAGAAAACTGTACATTTTACGCCTGCTCAAAAAAAAACTTCATGAGCGAAGGAGAAGAGTGCTGGCAGTCGCAGTACTCACGCCGAGCTCCTTGAGTAGCTGCACGTCGTGCGCCACGTCGCCGACGTTCCAGACAGTGGCGGACCTCCCTGAAACACGCCGAGCAGTAGCCAGAGCGAGCACAGCAAAAAATGTCATGTACAATTTTGTACAATACGTTACATCTTGTAGCGTAGCACCAAAAACCGCCTACACAGCTTTTGCTTCGCAGCTACGAAGAAAATAAAGGCAATGTAGAATTGCTTCGTATTATGAAGACATGCTTCATATTGCGAGGGATTTTCCCTCGTAATGAGAAGCAATTCTTCGTTACAATGCCTTCGTTTTCTTCGCATTACGAAGTGATGCACTGAGGTTTTCAAAAGGCTATGAATATACGACGTAAGGTGCTATGCATATCGCACCATATGGGCAGCAATGCCATTGCCATAATGCACTGCAATGCTTCCCGAAAATGCCCTTTGCTAGTGCATGAGAATGCGAAAGGCATTGCACTTTATGTGCAATGCAAAAGTATTGCACCAATTATGATGCTAAACTCACACCGTTTGAATTTCAGTGCGCTCCCTACACTTCTTACTGTGCAATGTTTTGTAAGAAAAAACTGGACAAATTTATCCATTGTTGAGCGAAATTGTGAACAAACTCATGCAGAAAGTTCATCTGCACAAGAAACTGAGACAAAATTTGTACAAAATTATTCAGAGTAGAGAAAGTTTAACTGGAGGGACCAACACCGCTTCAGCATGTCAGTCAGCACTTACATTCCTCGCTCCATGCCCCTTCGATTTGGTGGGCGGCGGAGGCCACGCCGATCCTGTAAAAGGCTGGGAGCATGTACAGGGACTCCGACTCCGAGGCACTTGGCGCGTACAGGTCCTCCTCGGGGTGATCGCCGTCGTCGTCATCTATGTGTTTGAAGACACGAGACCGAGAATGAAAATACCTGTCACACCGGCACTTGAAGCTGACATAGGTCCAACACTACGACCGAACAAAGGTGCATAATCGTACTCCTTCTAATCCAGTGCATGTAAGGGCACTGCAGTATGGTAGTCTGAAGAACTGTCATAAGCAGGCCTTGAATAGGGAACGCGAACGTCTGGTTCAGTGTAGAAGCACGGGGGCGTTTCTTCGGCCTCGCGACCCACGAAAGGGCGGAGATCTCTAGAATTTTGTGGCTAACCCATGAAAATGAATTTTACTGCCTCCGTTTTGCTACCAACGAACCATTGATAGACTTCAAACAGGTCCCGGAAAACCGTGCAATGCAAAAAAAAGCATTGGAATTTTCTAATTCTTTGTATGCCCTTTGATTGTGTGGTTCAAATCTCGAAAACGTTTGGCGGGAGGATATCATTTTGAGTACTTCCTTTCCGCACGTTAGGCTAGACCGTTCAAACATCGCAGCCAATGTTACTCAATTGCGTTATTTTGGGCATTGCGCGCACGATTTAAGCCACGCCGTTGAGTGTTTCGACTTGATTTTTTATTCAATGTTTCATCTCCAAGGGCCGAACGAAAACCGGAAGGGGAAGTGGCAGAAAATAATGGTTTAAATGTTTGCATTTGAATACTTTATTTGCAACACATTCCGTGGGGCACCATGACCAACCGACCAACCCGAGGGGCACTATGACCATGCTTTTTCTTGCCCAAGAAGTATACTTTTTACCATTATTCTCATTGAAATAGTTTCTTTGGCTGACTTTACGGTCAGGCCAGTCGCCTCAGCCACAAAAACAGTCCAAAAACGATCCAAGCTTCATCCGTTTTAAGAGGCTTTAAAATGGGCGGTTGAGAACGGTTAACTCTCCAAGTCTTCCACATTTCACATCCAAAGCTATGACATGTGTTTACGTGTTTGTTTATCTTTCAAAGACATATCTGAATTCGCAAGCTCATTTCAAAATGGCCAAGTTTTAAATTAAATTATCGCGTTCACTATACTGCTATTAAGTAACCTTATCTTCTGATCACGCCGTTGCTGTTTCTGTGCAGAGTAGCCACGGATGCCTTTCCGCGCCTATGACCACGGTTTTGGCCACATAAAGAGCTGCAGATTCAGAGCCTTTCTTAATCTTACTTGTGGTTCACGATCTGCGAGGAAACTATTCTGGGACAGTTGTTCGACCCTTATCCATCTTCTGGAGCAAAACGCGAACTTTTAGACGAAAATGAATCAAGTATGTATGGTCATGGAAACCCACACTGCAAATCCAAGTGTAGGACAGGTCGACACTTTAAGGCGTGGACCAGTTTGTCCTACGTTTGCAAGTGTCGACCAGGTGTGTCCGACGCCTGCAAGTGTCGACCACAGCATGTCCGACGGCTGAAGTGTGGGGCCACAGTAGGAAACTCAGTGTAATTTGCCGTAGGACAAACAGTGTCCTGCACATGCAGGTGTCGGACACAGTGTTGGTCGACTTCAAAGAGTCGGACACAACTGGTAGACACTTGCAAGCGTAGGACAAACTGGTCTACGCCTTAAAGTGTCGACCTGTCCTACACTTGGATTTGCAGTGCACAAAACAAGTGGTCATGGATCCCCCAAAATGCAATTTACGACTCTAAGGCTCCCTGAGCATGCAACAAACTACATAGAATCAAATGTGAGGTTGAATATTTTCACGGACAGCCGACATTTGGGGAAAAGCCGCAAGACATCGAACAAGATGCGGTAGTGAGAAAAAAATATCCCAGATTTTTAATGTACCCAAGTTGCCCAAAATGCTGAAACAAAAATTTTGACGAGCTCCTGTGCGAGGGGGTATGTATGTACTCTCAAAACCTGTGTCCCGACTATTACGCTGGTACGCTCTAGTACGCCTCAAACTAATCGGAATTTAGCTAAAAACAGCCCAAAACACCCCAAAAATTGTTAAAATTTTGAGAATTTCGGCTATACGCGCACTATGTCGCGTGCTATTTCAGACAGAGGGACCTGACTATCACGCGAATGCGGGCAAACCCCCTCGCTCTCGTGGTTTTACTCAAAGTAAGAAGGTCGGGGTCTAGTTCAAATGAGTAAGGAACCGAGACTTTCGAAAGTCCTGCCAAACCGTGGATTTAGAACCAAAACATGGTGGTCATGGTACCCCAATGGCCATGGATCACCACCCTCCCTTACTGGTGGCGGCGCCGACGCAGCGCTGCGAGGCGGCGTGGAAGGCGGTGCCCGGCGGGCAGGTGGCGGGCACGGGGCTGCCGAAGCCGCCGGCCGTCCGCACGCACTCGAAGTAGCCCTGCGGCCTGGAGGCGTCGGGCAGGCGGCCCTCGCGCAGGCAGGCCAGGCTGCACACGCCGTCCGGCGAGATGGCGCTGTCGGCGCCGCAGTCCGCCACGTAGGCGTGCTCGGGCCGCTCGTCCACGCACAGGAAGAAGACGCTCGCGCCGCCCGGCCACCGCTGGTACACCAGCAAGGTGCTGCTGTTGCACACGGCCGGGGCGCACACCGCCTCCGCGCTGCGGGCATCGCGGGGAAGGCGACAAATCACTCTGGATGTCTCATGAAATCCCAGCTAGGGTCACTTGGGGTAATAGGGTACTTTCGTAGATCCCTGAACCGGAAGCACACAGACGCCATATTGGTGGAAGTAGATCCAAACTTGACATGGGAAAGAGACGTTCGTCAAAGGTATCGGCCACACTTGAACATAAACAGTCGTTTGATACTTGTTTGCAATGCATATGTGTTTCGCGAGCAATATTTGTACAGCTCGGCTATAGTTTTGGATCCGAAGAGAGGTTAGTTTCCGGCCAATTTGGCGTCTGCAGGTCTGCTTGCTTCCGGTTCAGCATTCTACGAAAGTACCCTATTAGGGGGACACGGGGCCGACTCTTAGTCAAGAATCGAGATTTTAGAACTTGTGCCGCGTAGCAAATGCTATTTTCTCAATAAAAAAATCACATTTGGTATGTCATGCGTTCAAAAATGGCAATC